AGAAAAGAAGGACAGTAGGTTTGTGGGGAGGAAGGAATGTGTTGTGGAAGACAGTGAGGGTTAGTGAGTTGTAGTATCATGCATCATTGTGACAAAAGACACACCGGTGACTCAGCATATTTACAAGTCCACCCCCACTTGTAGTTATAGGAACCTGTCCAGTGACTCTATATGTGTATATATTTGATAGAAAAACAGTAATAAACAAAATTTTTTATTGTTGGTTTGTGTAAACATGTAAACAATATAATGACAGCAAAGTTTGTGCTGTTATTGTGTAGTATACAGTGAGTGAATATATACCAAATACAGTGGACCCTCAGCTAACGATGGCATCGCCTAACGTTAAATCCGGCTAGCGATACATTTTAGTGCAAAAATTTTGCCTCGGCTAGCGCTAAAAAACTCACCCAATGAGATTCGTTCGAGACGCGTCCACGTGTGGCCTGAGCGCGCCTCACTTGTCCCGTGGGTGCCAGTGTTTACAAGCCAGCCACCGCGGTCGCATCCAAGCATACAATCGGAACATTTCATATTATCACAGCGTTTTTAGTGATTTTACCCTGCAAAATAAGTCACCATGGCCCCAAGAAAGCTTCTAGTGCCATCCCTACAGGAAAAAGGGTGAGAATTACTATGGATATGAAGAAAGAGATAATTGCTAAGTACGAAAGTGGAGTGCGTGTCTCCGAGCTGGCCAGGTTGTATACGAAACCCCAATCAACCATCGCTACTGTTGTGGCCAAGAAAATGGCAATCAAGGAAGCTGTTCTTGCCAAAGGTGCAACTTTGTTTTCGAAACAGAGATCGCAAGTGATAGAAGATGTTGAGAGACTGTTATTAGTGTGGATAAACAAAAAACAGATATCAGGAGATAGCATCTCTCAAGCGATCATATGTGAAAACGCTAGGAAGTTGCATGAGGATTTAATTAGAAAAATGCCTGCAACTAGTGGTGACGTGAGTGAATTTAAGGCCAGCAAAGGTTGGTTTGAGAGATTTAAGAATCGTAGTGGCATACATAGTGTGATAAGGCATGGTGAGGCTGCCAGTTTGGACCACGAAGCGACTGAAAAATATGTGCAGGAATTCAAGGAGTACATAGAAAGTGAAGGACTGAAACCTGAACAAGTGTTTAATTGTGACGAAACAGGCCTGTTTTGTAAGAAAATGCCAAACAGGACCTACATTACTGAGGAGGAAAAGGCACTCCCAGGACACAAGCCTATGAAAGACAGGCTTACTCTGTTGATGTGTGCTAATGCTAGTGGTGATTGCAAAGTGAAGCCTTTATTGGTGTATCACTCTGAAACTCCCACAGTGTTCAGGAGAAACAATGTCCTCAAGGCTAATTTGTGTGTGATGTGGAGGTCAAACAGTAAGGCATGGGTCACTAGAGACGTTTTCTATGACTGGTTACACCATGCATTTGCCCCCACTGTGAAAAATTACCTAATTGAAAAGAAATTGGACCTTAAGTGCCTCCTGATATTAGACAATGCTCCTGGTCATCCTTCAGACATGGCAGACTGACTTTCTGGGGACATGAGCTTCATTAAGGTCAAGTTTTTGCCTCCTAATACCACTCCTCTCCTGCAGCCCATGGACCAGCAGGTCATTTCAAACTTCAAAAAACTCTACACAAAAGCTGTTTGAAAGGTGCTTTGTAGTGACCACAGAAACTCAATTGACTCTAAAAGAGTTTTGGAGATATCACTTTAGCATCCTCAATTGTGTAAACATTGTAGGTAAGGCTTGGGAGGAAGTGACTAAGAGGACCTTGAACTCTGCTTGGAAAAAACTGTGACCAGAATGTGTAGACAAAAGGGATTTTGAAGGATTTGAGGCTAACCCTGAGAAGTGTATGCCAGTTGTGGAATCAGTTGTGGCATTGGGGATGTCCTTGGGGTTGGAGGTTAGTGGGGAGGATGTGGAAGAGTTGGTGGAGGAGGACAATGAAGAACTAACCACTGATGAGCTGCTAGACCATCTTCAACAGCAAGAGGCCAGACCTGAGGAAACTGCTCCGGAGGAGGGCATAGAGAAATTGAAGAAGTTGCCTACTTCAAAGATTAAGGAAATGTGTGCAAAGTGGTTTGAAGTGCAAACCTTTTTTGATGAAAATCACCCTCACACAGCTATTGCAAGCCGTGCTGGTGACTATTACACTGACAATGTTGTGACCCACTTTAGGAAAGTCATAAAGGAACAGGAGGTACAGGCCTCTATGGACAGATATGTTGTGCGACAGAGGTCCAGTGACTCTGAAGCTGGTCCTAGTGGCATTAAAAGAAGGGAAGTAACCCCAGAGAAGGACTTGCTACCTCAAGTCCTAATGGAAGGGGATTCCCCATCTAAACATTAACAACATCCACACACTCCCCTCCTCCCATCCCATCAATCATCACCAGATCTTCAATAAAGGTAAGTGTCAGTTTGTGTGTACTAAAATTAATATTTCATGTGGTAAAAAAAAAAAATTTTTCATACTTTGGGGTGTCAGGAACGGATTAATTTGATTTCCATTATTTCTTATGGGGAAAATAATTCAGCTAACAATAATTTCAGCTAACGATGAGCTTTCAGAAGCAGATTAATATCGTTAGGTGAGGGTCTACTGTAGTCTTATATTGGTCTCAAAGGCCATAAAAGTTACTTGAAAAAATAAAATTTAAAAAAATAAAAGAAAAGAGTAGAAATAACAAAATAAACTATTACCGAGTGACCAGCAGTCAGCAATGTTGCAGTATGCGATTCAATTTCTGTTAACTTCACGCCTCCATATCTCCGTAAGTATTGATCGCAAAAATTTCTTTTTGCCTGTAATACTCACAAAAAAAACTATCTTTTCATTAGAATTTTTTTTTTTTTCGAATATTTTTCGACCCTGAGAACAAGTTTGAGAGAGGGCCTGTCAACCCTGTTAGGGTTAATTGCCATATCTTGTATCTGCCATGCAGTTATGACACCCAGTAGGCATACCAGTGTTGCTGACTTACTGAATGACTTACTAACTTGACTGTATAACTTACTGACTTGACTGAATGACTTACTGACCTGACTTACTGACTTGACTGACTGACTGAATGACTTGACTGACTGATTGACTGAATGACTTAACTGACTGACTTACTGACTTGACTGAATGACTTGATTGACTTACTGAATGATTTGACTGACTTACTAAATGACTTGACTGATTGACTTAACTGACTGACTGACTGACTTGACTGACTGATTGAGTGACTTGACTGGCTGAATGACTTGACTGACTTACTGAATGACTTAAAGTTAGACTTTTTCACTGAAGAGGACCCTGAAATGGTGTCTAGAGCAGCTGATGCCTTACCATCAGTTGTATAATGTACTGCAGGGTAAAATACAGCAGAAATCCATTACAGAATTTATGCACACTCCAGTACAACCACCAACTTCAGTACCAGAACCTCTACCATCCACCTCAGCCCAGTAGGACCACAACATAACTCTCCACTCTCTTCACAATTATCCACAAATACCAGCACCAACAATTTAAGGTAAGAAATACTATTATTTTTGTTGCAATTATAGTTTTAAGCAGTTAAAACAACATAATACATCACGACAATAAACTACAATTATATATTCACTTTTAATTTTGTAAGATCTGGAGGTCTAAAAAAAAAGTTGTTTGAGGGAGAAGCTTGCATCCTGAATTTTTGCTCGTATCCAGAAACAAAAAATCGACCGAGCGACTGCTCGTATCCTGAAAAACTTGTTTGGTGGGTCACTCATAAGCCAAAGTTCCACTATATTTATAGATGGGGTTGTAAGAGAAGGGAATGTATGAGTGTTGGCAAGAGGTGTGGGGTTAAAAGATAAAGAATCTAACACAAAGTGGGAGTTGTCACAGTTGCTTTTTGCTGATGACACTGTGCTTTTGGGAGATTCTGAAGAGAAGTTACAGAAGTTGGTGGATGAGTTTGGTAGGGTATGTAAAAGAGGAAAATTAAAAGTGAATATAGGAAAGAGTAAGGTGATGATAAAAAAATTAGGTGATTAAAGATTGGATATCGGATTGGAGGGAAAGAATATGTAGGTGAATGTATTCAGATATTTAGGAGTGGACGTGTCAGCAGATGAGTCTATAAAAGATAAGGTGAATCATAGAATTGTTGAGGGGAAAAAGGTGAGTGGTGCACTTAGGAGTCTGTGGAGTCAAAGAACTTTGTCCATAGAAGCAAAGAGGGAAATGTATGTATAGTTATACCAACACTCTTATATGGGTGTGAATCATGGGTGGTGAATATTGCCACAAGCAGAAGGCTGGAGGCAGTGGAGATGTCATGTCTGAAAGCAGTGTGTGGTGTGAATATAATGCAGAGAATTTGTAGTTTGGGAATTAGGAGGAGGTACGAGATTATGAAAATTATTGTCCAGAGGGCTGAGGAGGGGTTGTTGAGGTGGTTTGGACATGTAGAGAGGATGGAAGGAAATAGAATGACTTCTAGAGTGTATAAATCTGTAGTGGAGGGAAGGAGGGGTAGGAGTCAGCCTTGGAAAGGTTGGAGGAAAGGGGGTAAAGGAGATTTTGTGTGTGAGGGGCTTGGACTTCCAGCAAGCATATGTGAGCATGTTATGAGCGAATGGAGTCAAATGGTTTTTAGGACTTGATGTGCTGTTGGAGTATGAGCAAGGTAACATTTATGAAGGGATTCAGGGAGACCGGCAGGCTGGACTTGAGTCCTGGAGACGGGAAGTACATTATCTGCACTCTGATGGAAGGGTGTTAATGTTGCAGTTTTATAACTGTAGTGTAAGCACACCTCTGGCAAGACAGTGATTGAGTGAATGATGATGAAAGTTTTTCTTTTTCGGGCCGCCCTGCCTTGGTGGGAGATGGCCAATGTGTTAATAAATAATAAATAAAAAATATGCAAAATATTTTTGTAAGAAATGTTTATTTAAATTATAATAATTAAAACATCAGAATTGCTATATTAAATCACTGGATTTTACAGGAGTAATGCCGGACTCAGAGTCAGAAGAAATTCTCATGAACACTTTTGGAATGTATAGTCATCCTGTACGCAAGCATCGTCGCATGTTGTACTGGATGCCCAAGTTTAAGGTAAGTTTTATTGGTGATGTTTATCTTGTGCAGAATATTTCCTTCAATTACATGTTTGTTAGTCTCCAAAAAATATACAATATTGTTTATGATAAAGATATTTTTTTATCATATCATGAAGATTCATTTATATATCACATATTTTATTTTTATTAAGCCTAAAACATATTTATGTTATATTCTGTATCTGGAAAAATCCAAAATAGCCCATTACAGATCAAATGACCAAATATAGTATGCTCACAGTGTTTGGGTATATCATTTCACTAAATGAACATTAACTGTTTTTGTTGATATACACACATACTACAGTATCAACTTCAGTGGCAAAATCTCATCTACAGTATTTGTGGAAAACTTTTTCTTACTTTACATTATTACCACCCCTGTTATACTACGTATATCCATTTCTAAGTAAATATCAAGAAAAATCAGTCTTTAGGATGATCACACCTCAGAGCTGTCCAGAAATGCTTCCTTCCTTACTTTATCACAGTAGAAGACCATATTCAGTACTCTTCCACTACTCTGTTCAGATAACTAGCTAGTATTCAATAAAGGAATGACACCGGACTTTATTTTCATCATAATGGATCATGGCAGTTATTAAGTACAGTGGAACCCCGGTTTTCAAATTTAATCAGTTCTTGAAGGTCGTTCCAAAACCAAAACATGTGAAAACTGAATCAATATTTCCCATAAGAAATAATGTAAATACAGTGGAACCTCTACTTGCGAGTTTAATCCGTTCCATGACCTTGCTCGCAACTGGATTTGCTCGTTTGCAGAGTCAATTTTCCTCATTTAAATTAATTGAAATGCAATTAATCCGTTCCAGTGGAATTTTGTACTTCAGTAATTTCGCTAATATCAGCTCTACGGCTTATTTATCTATCACAGTTTATCTAATATGACATAACAAACAATATAAATAACATAGAAACATGATATATACTCTAGAATGAATAAAATACGTCATTCATGTAGTGGTATGGGAGGTGTCGGCGGTGGACGAGAGTTTGTTGGAGACCAGGCAAAATACTTCATGAATAATTTCGCTAATATCATCTATGTGGCTTATTTATATATCACAGTTCATCTTATATGACATAAAAAACAAAAAAAATAACTTAGAAACATGATATATACTCTAGAATGAATGAAATATGTCATTATGTAACAGGTGGAGGCAGCCACAACTGCTCCCTCTTTGTTGTGGTAAACACTGCCATCTAGTGATGGCCTTTTGAAGCTGTCTATTATAATTGTTATATGTAGTACATTATTATTATTATATATGTATTATTATTATACATATTATATTATTATCATTATTATTATTATTGTATTATATTATTATATTATTATTATACGTATTATTATACATATTATTATTATTATTACTTTATAATACATATTTTATGAAAAAGAGGATAAATAAATATACAAGGTATGATGTAGCACGTAATGAAAGTAGTTTATTAGATTATGTATTGGTGGATAAAAGGTTGATGGGTAGGCTCCAGGATGTACATGTTTATAGAGGGGCAACTGATATATCGCATCATTATTTAGTTGTAGCTACAGTTAGAGTAAGAGGTAGATGGGAAAAGAGGAAGGTGGCAACAACAAGTAAGAGGGAGGTGAAAGTGTATAGACTAAGGGAGGAGGAAGTTCGGGCGAGATATAAGCGACTATTGGCAGAAAGGTGGGCTAGTGCAAAGATGAGTAGTGGGGGGGTTGAAGAGGGTTGGAATAGTTTTAAAAATGCAGTATTAGAATGTGGGGCAGAAGTTTGTGGTTATAGGAGGGTGGGGGCAGGAGGAAAGAGGAGTGATTGGTGGAATGATGAAGTAAAGGGTGTGATAAAAGAGAAAAAGGTAGCTTATGAGAGGTTTTTACAAAGCAGAAGTGTTGTAAGAAGAGCAGAGTATATGGAGAGTAAAAGAAAGGTAAAGAGAGTGGTGAGAGAGTGCAAAAGGAGAGCATATGATAGAGTGGGAGAGGCACTGTCAAGAAATTTTAATGAAAATAAGAAAAAATTTTGGAGTGAGTTAAACAAGTTAAGAAAGCCTAGGAAAGTATGGATTTGTCAGTTAAAAACAGAGTAGGGGAGTTAGTAGATGGGGAGATGGAGGTATTAGGTAGATGGCGAGAATATTTTGAGGAACTTTTAAATGTTAAGGAAGAAACAGAGGCAGTAATTTCATGCACTGGTCAGGGAGGTATACCATCTTTTAGGAGTGAAGAAGAGCAGAATGTAAGTGTGGGGGAGGTACGTGAGGCATTACGTAAAATGAAAGGGGGTGAAGCAGCTGTAACTGATGGGATCATGACAGAAATGTTAAAAGCAGGGGAGGATATAGTGTTGGAGTGGTTGGTACTTTTGTTTAATAAATGTATGAAAGAGGGGAAGGTACCTAGGGATTGGGGGAGAGCATGTATAGTCCCTTTATATAAAGGGAAAGGGGACAAAAGAGACTGTAAAAATTATAGAGGAATAAGTTTACTGAGTATACCAGGAAAAGTGTACGGTAGGGTTATAATTGATGCTCAAATTGTTAATAAATAAATAAATAAATAAATAAATAAATAAATAAATTAGAGGTAAGACAGAATGTAGGATTGCGGATGAGCAAGGAGGTTTCAGAGTGGGTAGGGGATGTGTAGATCAAGTGTTTACATTGAAGCATATATGTGAACAGTATTTAGATAAAGGTAGGGAAGTTTTTATTGCATTTATGGATTTAGAAAAGGCATATGATAGAGTGGATAGAGGAGCAATGTGGCAGATGTTGCAAGTATATGGAATAGGTGGTAAGTTATTAAATGCTGTAAAGAGTTTTTATGAGGATAGTGAGGCTCAGGTTAGGGTGTGTAGAAGAGAGGGAGACTACTTCCCGGTAAAAGTAGGTCTTAGACAGGGATGTGTAATGTCACCATGGTTGTTTAATATATTTATAGATGGGGTTGTAAAGGAAGTAAATGCTAGGGTGTTCGGGAGAGGGGTGGGATTAAATTTTGGGGAATCAAATTCAAAATGGGAATTGACACAGTTACTTTTTGCTGATGATACTGTGCTTATGGGAGATTCTAAAGAAAAATTGCAAAGGTTAGTGGATGAGTTTGGGAATGTGTGTAAAGGTAGAAAGTTGAAAGTGAACATAGAAAAGAGTAAGGTGATGAGGGTGTCAAACGATTTAGATAAAGAAAAATTGGATATCAAATTGGGGAGGAGGAGTATGGAAGAAGTGAATGTTTTCAGATACTTGGGAGTTGACGTGTCGGCGGATGGATTTATGAAGGATGAGGTTAATCATAGAATTGATGAGGGAAAAATGGTGAGTGGTGCATTGAGGTATATGTGGAGTCAAAAAACGTTATCTATGGAGGCAAAGAAGGGAATGTATGAAAGTATAGTAGTACCAACACTCTTATATGGGTGTGAAGCTTGGGTGGTAAATGCAGCAGCGAGGAGACGGTTGGAGGCAGTGATGTCCTGTTTAAGGGCAATGTGTGGTGTAAATATTATGCAGAAAATTCGGAGTGTGGAAATTAGGAAAAGGTGTGGAGTTAATAAAAGTATTATTCAGAGGGCAGAAGAGGGGTTGTTGAGGTGGTTTGGTCATTTAGAGAGAATGGATCAAAGTAGAATGACATGGAAAGCATATAAATCTATAGGGGAAGGATGGCGTTGGAGAGAGGGGGTAAAGGAGGTTTTGTGGGCAAGGGGCTTGGACTTCCAGCAAGCGTGTGTGAGCGTGTTAGATAGGAGTGAATGGAGACGAATGGTACTTGGGACCTGACGATCTGTTGGAGTGTGAGCAGGGTAATATTTAGTGAAGGGATTCAGGGAAACCGGTTATTTTCATATAGTCGGACTTGAGTCCTGGAAATGGGAAGTACAATGCCTGCACTTTAAAGGAGGTGTTTGGGATATTGGCAGTTTGGAGGGATATGTTGTGTATCTTTATATGTGTATGCTTCTAGACTGTTGTATTCTGAGCACCTCTGCAAAAACAGTGATAATGTGTGAATGTGGTGAAAGTGTTGAATGATGATGAAAGTATTTTCTTTTTGGGGATTTTCTTTCTTTTTTGGGTCACCCTGCCTCGGTGGGAGACGGCTGACTTGTTGAAAAAAAAAAATATTATTATTATTATTATTATTATTATTATTATTATTATTGTTATATAAATAATTTGTAATTTTTATTCACACCAATATAAGCTTTACTGTTATTCCTTATTGCAATAATTGTATAAATAATGTCAACCCATTTACGACTGCATATTGGAATGGACAGTGACGTCATTTGTTTACTCTGAAACAGCCAAGCAGTGGACCATTTCTCCTAGGTTGAGCTCTATTTCAAGGTACTTTTTCTCGTGAAAGCAATTAAAATCATATCTATTTCTGTAATATAGCTTCCCTTCTATCAAATAAGACCAAAAGAATGAGAATACAACCATAAAAACCATACGAAAATACTGCTAAGGGGTCGCTAATTGCTGAAAAGTGAGCTCCATTATTTATGCTTAGATTTCTTTCATTTTTGGTGTACGTTAAGAAGCATCTTTCCATCATACATTGCCCAGGTTTCAATAAGATAGTCCAACAAACAAATGAGATACAATTCCCGAGATCAAGAGCAAGAGCCCTTCAACCAGTGTCAAGGAACCTGATTTGAGGTCTGCTCACTTGTGGAAATTTTGCTCGCGTATGGAAGCAAAAAATTGACCCATCGACTGCTCGTATTTGGAAAAACTCGCATGTGGACATGCTTGCAAGTAGAGGTTCCACTGTATAATTAATCCGTTCCAGACACCCAAAAAATATTCACAAAAAATTAATTTTTTAAAGAATATGACACTAATATCAACTCTGTGGCTTATTTATCTATCACAATTGATCTAATATGACATAATAAACAATATAAATAACATAGAAACCTGAAATACACTCTAGAATGAATAAAATATGTCATTACGTATGTGGCTAGTGGTGGCGGAGGCGTAGAGTTTGTTTGGAGGCAGGACAAAATACCCCTTCAATATGATACTAATATCAACTCTACAGCTTATTTATCTATCATAGTTGATCTAATATGACATAATAAATAATATTATTAACATAGAAACATAATATATACTCTAGAATGAATAAAATGTGTCATTACTTATGTGGAGTGGTGATGGTGTTCTTGTTGTTGGTTTATAAGGGGCACTGACAGCATAAGCCGTACATATATGTGTTGGTGGTGGCGGTGGTGTTGTCAGTGGCCCTATATACCTCAAACAATGGAGGAGTCAGTTTTGTGTTGTCATTTTTCTGTCACTAAATCTCTTAACTTACTTGCTACACTGTTAACCCTTTGACTGTTTGTCATATACAGTGGACCCCCGGCTTACGATATTATTTCACTCCAGAAGTATGATCAGGTGCCATTACTGAACGAATTTGTTCCCATAAGGAATGTTGTGAATTAGATTAGTCCATTTCAGACCCCCAAACATACACGTACAAACACACTTACATAAATACACTTACATAATTGGTCGCATTGGGAGCTGATCGTAAAGCGGGGGTCCACTGTATATATACGTTTTACGAGCCACCGTATTTAACGTATTAATACGCATAAATTCTAGCAGCCTCAAATCAGGCGGGAGAAAGCTGGTAGGCCTTCATGTGAGAGAATGGGTCTGCGTGGTGGGTGTGCACCCTATGAAAAAAATCGGGGACTCAGTGGTGCATTGTGAGAACACCATCTTGGTAGTCCTTGTTCACCATGCCTCGCGGTAAGAAGTTCCTCACTCCTCAGCAGATTGGAGGTCTTTTGTTCCCAAGTGATAGCTCTAACAGCGATGGAAATGCCAGCGAAAGTGAATTTCATGGTTTTGGAGAAAGCAGCACCCAGGATAACGTAATTAGTGATGAAAATCCAGATGACCCACAACCTTCCACCTCTGGTGCTGGGCTGTCTCATTCACGTTCACCTGTACCAGGATGAAAGAGGAAACTATTTTACCGTGTACAAAAGTCAGATGTGAGCAGTGAAAGTGATAATGATAGTGATTTCCAAGCTATTGAAATCAGTTCTAGTTGCGACAGTGAGGGTGAATATTCTCCAGTGAAGCGGCAGTATGTACAACACAGCATGCATTCTGGTAGTGTGTCATATGTTGTTCCAAGGGGTAGGAGTAAATCTCGGAGTACATCCCGTGGCCCTACACCAAGAACTAATAGTGAAGATGATGATATTGTTACAATGGGGATGAATAATGTGAGTGGGGTAGCAGGTGGTGGTGCTGGTGGTGGTGGTGGCGGCATGAGTCATGTGGCACCAGCAGCGGGCCATGCTACTACCCATGCTGCTAACTCAGCACAGCCACAGTCACCCTCAGCCAACCCCACACTCCCACAACATCCATAACCACAGCCTGTAAATACCCAGTACTCACCAGCAGACCGCATCTGGGATTGGCAGTGAGGTGACAGTTTTATTCCCAATCCCCATCACTTTGATGAAATACAAAGTGGAATACAGCCATCATGTACACTTGGGAACAATGCCACTGAACTGGAATGCTTTCAGTTATTCTTCTATGAACCCCTGATGGACATACTTTGAGTACACCATGGCAAACACAATTCTTTCACCAAGATCACACCTACATCAGTGGAAGGACACAACTGTGGCAGAGATGTATCTGTTCTTTGCCACAATAATGCTTATGCCACATGTGTATAAGCACATTGTCAATACATACTGGTCGACAGACCGCCTGATTTCAACTCCAGCTTTTGGTGACATTATACCAGTGAATAGATCTGTGCTACTATTACGTATGCTACACTTCTCAGACAAAATAAGGCCAGACAGAAGTGACAGGTTATATAAGATCAGGAATGTGTTTATGTACCTAAAACAAAAGTGCTGTATGTATTTTTATCCCTTCAGGAAGCTTGTTGTTGATGAATCTTTGATTTTGTTCAAAGGCAGACTGTCATTCAAGCAGTACATACCAAGCAAGTTGCCGGGTCACCATCTGGAGAAGACCCGGGCTGGAAGTACTGGCGAATCAACATGAATGAATGACCAAGCAAGAGGAAATGCTTTGGTATAAAGTTATTTGTTCTGTGTGATTGCAGAAGTGGTCTGGTTTTGGATATAATTGTATACACTGGCAGTAATACATTGCAAGATACCAAGAAGTTACTGGGTATCTCTGGTGATGTGGTTAGAACAATGATGAAACCATATCTTGGTAAGGGGCATATTTTATATACTGATAACTGGTACACAAGCCCCTTAGTGATTTCTTGCAAGTGAACACAACAGATGTGTGTGGCAGAGTGCATGGAAATCGTAAGCGTATGCCCAGGTTCAACTCAGGCACTCATAGAGGTGATGTTCAGGTGTTTGCTGCCAATGACATCATGGCATTTTGGTGGCATGACAAATGTGATGTCACATTGTTGACATCAGTTCACTGACACGAAATGGTAGACACTGGCAAGCAGAATGGAGAGACCAATGAACCCATTGTAAAACCTGCAGCTGTGATGGACTACAACTTCAATATGCGCTTAGTGGACAAATGTGACATGCAGATTGTGTTTGCTGATTGTGTTTGCAAAAGTTATAAGTGGTAAATAAAACTCTTTTTTCCATCGTCTTGACATTTCCATGCTGAATGCTTATACTATGTATAAGTTGAAGACCAACAACAAACCCAAATATGGTGAATTTTGTTTGTCAGTTATCAGACAAATAATATTCAAATACCAAGGAACAACACTTGAAATAGACCAGCGCCCACAAAATTATCAACATATGCCCTCTCGTCTGAGGCCTGGTGACCACTACCCCATACCACTGTCTCCTACTACTTTCAAGAAAAATGCTCAGAAGAGGTGTTATGTCTGTGCACATACCACAAAATGCCCACAAAAATGCAGAGACACTCATTTTATGTGTGAGGAGTGTAAAACACGATTGTACGTACACCCATGTTTCAAAGAATTCCACAAGCTGCAGCAGTTCTAGGAAAGTGTCCAGTGATTGTACATATGTATATATATTATAGAACAATAGTGATAAACAGTTTTTTATATTGTTTGTATGTGTAAACAAGTTTTGTAAACAATATGATGATACTAGTGTTTTTGCTATAATTATGTTACATTCAACAAATGTATGTATAAACACTGCACCACACTTTGGTCTCACAGGCCACGTTAGTTATGTGAAAAAATAAAATAGTGAAAAAAAGCAAGAAACCTTCGAATGCAAGTAAACCAAAGTTTACCGGGTGAGCGGCATTCACCGCTGTTGCCATACACGGCTCATTTTCTGCCAACTTTATGCCTCTATATCTTGGTAAGTACTGATCGTAAGAATGTTTTTTTTTTTTTTGGCTTAAAACAATCAGAAAATTATTCTTAACATTTTGATAAAAAATAATTTTTTTTTTTTTTTTTTTTTTTTTTTTTTTAATATTTTTCAACACCAGGAGACACTCAGGATTTGGGGTTGTGACAGTCAAAGGGTTAATGCTACACTTGATCACTGGCTGGAGCTATAGCCTTTATTGACTCCTCCTGCTTTAGTATTGTACATATTGTAGAATCACTGAAGAAGGCACATTCTCCCCTCTCTCTCAGCCCTTTACCAAAGGGCTGGCTGGCACTAGGAACTATCTTTGGGCCCATGGTGGCTTATTTCACAGTCACAATTTATAAACAAACGCCAAAAACAAGGGTTTATTACAAAATGTTTTGGAATGTGTAAAGTAATGCTAACTCGACCAGTGAGAGGCAGACTGAGACACGTAGTGGCGGCGTCCCCAGGCAGGCGGATGCGTATTATACGTCTGATTACCGGATCAAGGTACGATATCCAGAGCAAAATTTCACACAAAAATTGGTTCTAAAACCAAAGCATCTGATAACTGAGGCGTGCAAAAACCTGGGTTCCACCATATAGGGAGGTTGTGATGAAGGTTTTAAGTGGTAGGTGCTTCAACATCCAGCAGATGCGTGTCAGTGTGCTAGATTATGGTGAGCAGAAACCTTTGGTTTTTGAGGATTTGACATGCTGTTTGAGTGTGGGGAAGGTAATATGAAGGGATTCAAGAAAATACATTGTCTGTACTCTAAAGGAGATGCAGGGATGTTACAGTTTGGAGGATCATCTGAATTGTGATGTTTGCCCTTTACTAGCTAAATAATTACTGAATGAATGATGGCAGATGTTTCCTTTCTTGGATCACCCTCCATTGGTGAAAGACATCCAGTGTGGTAAAAAAAATTATGTGAGGGTATGCAGTTGTGATTTTTTTTTCATGAAACAGTACTTCATTTGTACATAACTTACACATTATTGATAGTATTTGAAAACTTCTTTATGATACCTGCACTTTTTTTTTTAGCTAGCTTCAATTCTAGCTAATAATTCCTTATACATTTTGTCATACATTTTCTATATGAACTTCCTTACCTCTTTTTTTATTTTAATATTGTATATAGAAATATTACATGCAATATTACATTTTTTATATGTATTTGAACTGTTTTGCTTATTCTTCTTCTTTAAACAATATTTCAGCATGCATCACCTTGGCGTCTTCCTGAGAGTGTTCCAAATAATGCCTTCGAGCTGGCCAAGCTAGCTGTCACTCGTATGTGCACAGTTGACCCTTCATCTGTAATCTCTCTCTTTGAGGTTTGTTAGATATAAGGAAAGGTTGTTGGTTTCATGCTCACCAGGTATGACCTCACTGGGCATTTCTTCCTGAGTACACTTTTCTTTTACACATATATATGAAACATTTTTCAGAGACTGAGCATTATAATCCTCCTACTAATTGAGTTTACTAATTTCCTACTCTCAGACAAAGGATGTTGAAGATGCCATTGAGGATACATGGATTGTCAGTGGCCAGAGCCCAACTCAACAAGAACTCCTACAGAACCACCCTCCTGAAGAGCCCATCAAGGTCATTTTGGTTTTCTTTAAATAGAAAGTCAATTTTCAAGAGATTCATACTCTGTGACAGGGAGTGCAGTCCAAAAAAAAGTGGCAGTTGCAAATTTGCATTTTGTACAGTGAGTCATGTTATCCATGATCTTCAGTTATATAAATACATGTACAAAAGTATATTTGTGAATGCAAACTCCCTGTACCTGCACTGACCTGTCAACTACTGTATCCAGGTCCCTTGGGGTTCCTCAGGAAGCCAGTGGCTTTTAGTTTTCTAATACTATTAACTGGTTGATATTATTGAACTCTAATTTGTTTTACAGTTAAAGGACACATAAGCAAACACTTAGGACATTTTATTATGGACATGTTTCAGTCCTGGGACCTTGTTCACTTTAAATATTCAGTTGCAGGACCGAAACTTTTCTGTAATGAAATGGCCTTAGTGTTTGTTCATGTGTTTTTAACCATAACTTGTCAGTATCATATAGTACCAGGTGAAACCTGGTATTATACAATAACTAGTCTTATTGTAGCTGATATTGATATTTGTTTTGTTTTTAGTGAACATATAAATGTATGAGAGGTTTTTGTAACATAAAAATTATAAATGAAAGGTAGAGTGCATGAAGAAGAGGAAGGTTAAAAGAGTTGGGAAAGAGAGCAAAAGGAGAGCCAGTGGGAGAATGGTTAAGTCTTTATTAGCAAATTTTGCTGAGAATAAGTTATTTTAGAGAGAAATCAATAAGTGAAGCAGCCTGGAGAGCAAATGGATTTAACAGTTAAGATAAGATTTTGTTTGGATTTTTAACCCTGAAGGGTTAGCCACCCAGGATAACCCAAGAAAGTCAGTGAGTCATTGAAGACTATCTAACTTATTTTCATTGGGGTCCTCAATCTTGTCCCCCAGGATGCAACCCACACCAATTGACTAACACCCAGGTACCTATTTGCTGCTAGGTGAACAGGACAATAGGTGTAAGGAAACGTGTCGAAATGTTTCCACCCACCGGGAATTGAACACGGGCCCTCCGTGTGTGAAGTGGGCGAGACATGCCGGAGCCGTATTGCATTTAAACATGTCTATCCATGTTGGTACTCCCGTAGTTGCAACCGTTTTGTTTGAGTATTATGTCTGTAGTAAAAAATAACTCAGGGCCTCCTATGAGTGAAACACCCTTTAAAAGCATTTAAGTTTTATGCAGAGAGCAATGCTTAGGTTAGGGTATGTAGATGGGAAGGAGGTGGCTTCCCAGTTAAATTGGAACTTAGATAGGGATGTATGATATCACCATGGTGGTTTAGCATATTTGAAGATAAGGTTGTAAAAGAAGGGAATACCAGGGTGTTGAGAGGGGCTATGAGATGAAAAGATGATTCTGATACAAAGTAGGAGTTATCACATGTGCTCTTTGCTGATGATGCAGTTTTTTGGGGGGATTCTAAAGACAAGTTGCAAAGATTGATGGACTAATTTGAGAGGTTATATAAAATAAGAATATCAAAAGTGAACGTAAACATGAGCAGGGAAGTGAGAGTAACAAAAGTGTCTAGGCAATGATAGATTGAATATCAGATTAGAGTGAGTAAGTATGGAGTAAGTGGATGCCCAGTATTGGGATACTTGGAAATAGACATGTCAGCAGATGGATCTGTGGAAAATGACATGAACCAAATAATAGATGAAGGGAAAAAGGCGTATTATTATAATTTTGTAAAATTGGTCGAATTATCAACTTCTGTGCACTTTAAAGGGTAGTTGAAATAGTTGAATGAGCACTTTCTTGTGCTCAATAGAATGGAAGTCATACCAGTGAAATAACTAAGAATTTGGATTCCAGGTAATTATGGTTGTCCTGTGCACTGACAAATCTTTGCAATGGTGTATTACCCTCACAAGGCCCAGGGCAGTGTCCCACATGTATTCATCAGTGATTTGAAATTTATTTCAAAATTTCTACCTACCATGTTTCAGAAAACTATGATTGAAATTAAGTTTATTGAGTTTCTTGACTCAAATATAATATTGCATTTTATTTTTTATCAGGTGGAGGGTCCCTTTCGTATCTTCTTGCGTGATCAGTGTGTTGGTTACTTTATTCTCCGAGCTGAGGCCAAACCTCAACCACCACCAGTGAAAAGAGAATATATTGATGGTAAGAGTATTGTTATTATTAAAGTATATTCCTGGGGAAATGCAAGGCCTATATAAGTCATAAAGCACCTGGGAATTGGGGAATAACCAAGCTTCGTCTAATGTGCAGTGTAATTTAAAAGTAACTTGTGGGGTAAAAATATATTTCTTAAATCAAGGTATGCTCAGTGAACATGTTGCTTGTAACATCTTTTTAGTATTATGCAAATATCGCAAACCAAGTGATACAGGATGCAAAACAACCATGGGGGGAGTAGAATGATAGCTCTAGGCCTTTTGTGTTACAACCAACACATCATCATTTCTTTGTAGTATGTTTGAGCTACAGTTTGGTATGTGCTGGGTGCATGTTGGACATCCTGCTCTTCATTTCTCAGATAAAAATGAGAGAAATGTCATGTTTGTAATAATAGCAGTGCAGCCTGATCATGCTTCCCACTATCTTTTGGTGTAGGTAGCAATGACTAGGAATATACAGCAAGGTAAGCAGTATGCCCATCAGATGTAGCTCACGTCTAATCACAAATTATGTCATCATTTATTTTCTAGGACTGGGTAATTTAATAGATATGAACTAACTACAAACTAAAACTCTACGTGCACCTCACACAAATTTTTTTTTAACTCGGTAGCAGGGTGACTCAAAGCAGAAAACACATTCAGCAACATTCATCCAGTTGTCATCATTCCAGAAGTGTTCCAACATCACAGTCAGATTGCCCTCCAACTACTACATCTTCATCCCTCCAGAGTGTAGGCACTGCCCTTCCCACTTGCAGGACTCAAGTCTGGCTAACTGGTTTTCCTGGTTGATGCATGCATTACCCAACATACACTAGCAGTCCAACACACCCTTGGTTTGTGCATGTACCTTATCAATACTTTTGCTGATTTTTCTGTGATCTGTCTACACTCTGAGGGAGGGGTGTTAATGTTGTAGTTTTATAACTGTATTGTAAGCGCGCCTCTGGCAAGACAGTGATGGAGTGAATGATCGTGAAAGTTTTTCTTTTTCAAGCCACCCTACCTTGGTGGGAAACGGCTGATGTGTTAATAAAAAATAAACATATTGGAAATCTGATACGTATCTTTTTACCACAGATGTAGGATCTATCAAGCTTTGGTTCACCGGTGACCTAGAGCCTGACGATATGGCTCTGATTAAACCTACTAGTGTCCATGAGCAAGAAGATGGCATTATTCTAGCTATTTGTGCTACAGGTAATACATTATTGTTACAGTTGTATTATTATTATTATTATTATATTCATGGGAAAGAACTAAACCCATAAGGGTCAAGTAATGATACAGGAAAGCAACGTTAGGAACAGCATAGTCCCTTTGCTCAACTCAGTGTCATATTCAGATTCTTTTCTGTCGGTAACATACATTGACATATTACATATTGCTAATCTGTATTTCATAATGGACATTACTGTTATTGTATTTATGGGCATGCACCAAACCTGTAGTAGTCATACAGTTCCTGGGCAATGATAGGTAGTCAGGTTTGATCCAAGGAATTCCTTAAATGAAGAGTCCTACACTAGTATCTAGGCATTCCTCTTGAAGGGCCTGTATTGAACATACCTGTACATCTACAGTTGGCAATCGACATTAAAGTATATAATTTAGATTACTGGATGGTTACCTAGTATTTTCCATATGTTATTTTTCAGGGACCTCTGGCCGAGATTCACTCTTGTCCTGGATACGCTTGCTAGTAAATACAAACCCAAACCTGGCCAACGTACCAGTGCTGTTTACACAAGCCAGTCCGGTAGGAGATGTTATGACTACAGGCCAGCATGATGAAACTACTTCAGTGAAGACTGTTCCTTGAAGACGTCTCTCTTATTAAAGAGGTAGTGTACAGCATCTTTCCCAGCAGTAAGTAAAACAGATAAGCCGAGTAATATGTAGTATCATATTTATTAATAAATGATGATTTTATGTGTTTCTTTCTATCCTAAGTTCAGTTGAGGAAACTAGACATGTTTCAGTCATTGCAAGATCTGAGAATAGTATCCGTACACCCCATAACCTCAGCCCCCTGTACCTAGACTCACACCAGGGAAGCCTGGCCACATGCCCAGGCTGCATGGTTATACCTGGAATATACCTGTAATAAATTTTTCATTATTTATCAGTTATTTTCTTGTATATATATTTGTATTTCTCCATGGAGAAGTGGAACAGAATTCTTCCTCCATAAGCCATGCATGTCATAAGAGGCGACTAAATTGCCGGGACTAAGGGGCTAATAACCCCTTCTCCTGTACAGTGGAACCTCTGGTCACGACCATAATTCATTCCAAAACTCTGGTTGTGACCCAGTTTGGTCATGACCCAAGCCTAATTTCCCCATTGGACTGTATATAAATACAATTAATCCGTTCCAGACTCCTACGAACTGTATGTAAATATTGTTTTTATAAGATTTTTAAACACAAAAATAGTTAATTATACCATAGAATGCACAGTGCAATAGTAAACTAAATGTATAAACCTTGAATAACACTGAGAAAACCTTGAACAACAGAGAAAATTAACATTGCACGAGTCCGTTCTAGACTCCTACAAACCGTTCGCTGTAAACATTTTTTTTTTTTTTTTAAGTTTTAAGGGATGTCTAATGGCTGAGAAATGAACTCCATTATTTATCATCTGATTTCTTTTATTTTTGGTGTACATTAAGAAGCATATTTCCATCATACATTGCCCAAGTTTCAATAAGATAGCCCAACATACAACTGAGAAAAAAATATTCACCAAAAATCATATATGGCAAGTCCAAGCTGGGTACTGGCACTGCGAGAAGCTGTTTGTGCACTACCTGCTGATGAAACAATTTTAATCCGAATTTATCACAAGGATCTTTGTTAGGTGTACACAAACAACAGGAAGTGGGGAAAATTGGCATGTGCGAAAAAATGGCGTGGAATGTGAATTTTGGCGTAGCTGTTTGTTTGACACCCGATTATGTGTTCATGACCAGATGCAAAAATTTGGCGAATTTTTTGGTCTTGAACTTATTTGTTCGTGTTTGGAAGCATTCGTGATCAGAGGTTCTACTATATATGTTACTAAAGTTAAAAAGAGAAACTTTTGTTTTTCTTTTTTTGGCCACCCTGCTTCAGTGGGATATTGTTTGTTTAATTCATGTTAAGTGCTAAACCCATGTGGGTCATTCATTGCAAAACATGGTGGAGGCTTGATCCTCCATCTGCTAAGCGAGACAGACACGTTTCCTACATATATTCGCCTGTATGTCAAATTACAGTATATACATTCCTATAGGAAAAAACACAGATTTTTTTCTTTATTTAATCTGGCCCCAGCAAAGCAATGCTTTCCAGAACATTAAGGAATTACAAACCTCTAACACACAGCACCTCAGCAAGATCACAACTCTAGAACATAAACTAAGCACACTGGAACATCTAAGCAGCATCCATACCCAGTCTGTGGATACCATCAACAGTCTAAAAGATTAGGTACCCCAACTAAATACCGACATCAAGAATGAAAGTGAGTGAGTGGACCTTCAACTTACCTTCAAGACCACTTTGAACAACAATAACTATGTGACTCAGTTGTAGTAAATAGCAACCTTCTACCTACAATTATAACCCAAGAAACATGCAAACAAACAACCTTAAAACTTATCCAAGACCATCTTTGACTCACTATATTTCTTTGTACAACTATGTATCATGTCCAAATAAAAAATAAATAAAGTGATAGGTCATTAAACTGGGAAGAAATCAGTGGTACTGAAGTTCAACTCTAGCTCACAAAGAAGTGAACTGTTAAGAACATCTATTAATATGAAAACAAGTGTTTATGTCAATGAGTGCCTGACAAAAATAAGACAAAATCTCCTTTACACACTAAGAAAGCTACAATATGACCACAAAATTTACCAGTGCTTTGCAAGGGATGACAAAATTGCAGTTAAGAAGGAATCAACAGGAAAGAGATACTTCATTTCTACCACACTTGATTTAAAAAAATTCCTAAGCAAAGCTGGCCTAACTGAGTCTGAATAAAAATGCAGTTTGTACCCACTTCCACACGTAGTGTTATGAGATCCTAAAAAAAATTTTCGTCCAATTTTTTCTGTAAAACCTAATATTCATTTCCATATTGTCAGTCTGACAGCAGTGATTCTAAGCTGTCCAATCACTACCTCATGTGTATTTTATATTAAGATAAGATAAGATAAGATTTCGTTCGGATTTTTAACCCCGGAGGGTTAGCCACCCAGGATAACCCAAGAAAGTCAGTGTGTCATCGAGGACTGTCTAACTTATTTCCATTGGGGTCCTTAATCCTGTCCCTCAGGATGCGACCCACACCAGTCGACTAACACCCAGGTACCTATTTGCTGTTAGGTGAACAGGACAATAGGTGTAAGGAAACGTGTTGGAATTTCCACCCGCCGGGAATCGAACCCGGGCCCTCCGTGTGTGAAGCGGGAGTTTTAGCCACCAGACCACCGGGCCACCGTTAAACACCTCAAGATCACCATCTTGTTTGCCTAAAAAGATAAAAAGATATACATTTCTATTTTTTTATATGTTTGTAACTATCTTTTGCAGTCCTCCATTAGTTGACTACTATATTGTTTTATTCTCTAATAGTGTGTGCATTCTATAATAATTACTGCAATACAATCCAAAGTTAAGTACTACTGTTTTGAAACCCCCCTTTTTGTTTACTCTCTAAAAAAAAAACATTTTTATTATTTTATACATTTGTAACTATCTTTTGCTATCCTCCATTAGTTAACTCCTATTTTTTTTTTTTTACTCTCTAGTGTGCAGTCTATAATAGTTAGTGTAATACAATCCAAAGTTAAGTACTACTATTTTGAAACCCCCCTTTTTTGTTTTTTGTTTACTGTCTAGTATTAGTGCAGACATTGTTAGGTGCTATTGATATACCTAGTCTTAATAGTTCATTATTTTTTATTACTAATCATACAATTTGTTTATAGTGTTATTACTTACCTAAATTTTGTGCTTTAAGTCAAATCTTACTATTTAAATTTTATTTAAGACCTTTTTTTACTATCTTTTAACTTAATATATTTTGTATTATTATTATTACTTGGTTAGTATCTGTGCAATCTGTAGAATAGTTCTTCTGCTACCTACACTTTGTACTGCTTGTATAAGCTCTCATATCACCTCCAGTGCAATATTAACAGTTTATACTACTTATAGATTTTTAAACTTGCATTAGTCATATGATTGCAAACATCAATCCTGACATTAATGTTTTATTTAATGACACACATGATCCTAACAACAATTGCCTTTAATAAACAAACACTATGATGACCTCCAAGCACTAATGAATTCTCTAAATGTCAGTATGTCTATCACTACTCTCACTGAAACATGGCTAAAACATGTTACAAACATCTGTTCCATACCTGGCTACACAGCCATACACAATTGTAGGCCAGATCAATTAGGAGGTGGAACAGCTATATACTACTTAGATGAACTAGAGTGTGTAAATTCTACTTGCACAAGGGATGAACATGGTGAATATACCTTTGCTAAATTTAAATCCAAAGACCTTACAAAACCTCTAACAGTTGGAGCAGTTTATAGAGTTCCTCACTCCAATATTTACTCTTTTAGTGAAAAACTAAAAAACATAATAACTAATGCTGAAATGAACGAACACCACCTAATACTTACAGGGGACTTCAACATAAATCTCATCCATGACCATGACCCACAAGTGACTGAATTCACAAGCACTATGAACAGCTGCTTACTTCTACTAACAATAACAAAACCTACAAGAATCACTGACACAAATGCCTCATTACTAGACCATATCTGGACAAACACTATATCCCCGTTAAAAGCAGGCATAATGACAGATAACACCACTGACCACTACCCCATCTTTCTCATAATCAAGTTGTGTAAAGTGCCCCAGGACACAACTAAGATCACATTCCGACTACACGACGAGTCATCTGTTAATAACTTTATTTCAGCATTTAGTGACATTGACTGGCAAAACAAGCTAGCAGACAACTTTGATATTGATGAATGTGTTAATATTTTTTTTTTACAAAAAACTCAAAACCTCTATAACATGCATTGCCCAATAAAAACTAAGCAGATCACAGCAAAGAGACTAAACAGCCCCTAGCTCACAAACAGTATCCTCAAATCTATTGATAAAAAACATCTATATAAAAAACAGTACAGAATGGGTCTAATAACAAAGGATCTCACAAAACGTTACTCATCAATACTAACCAATCTAATAAGGAAGTCCATAAAACTGTATTATGATAACAGATTTCATGACATAAAAGGTGATATGAAAAAGACCTGGAAAACCTTATCTGAAATTCTAGGATCAAAACAGCTGTCACAAAACAAAATGATTAACTTAACTAAACCAGACGAACCTCTCCTTCAGCCAACCGATACTGCCAACAAACTTAATGTCTTTTTCTCTACCATAGGAACAAAACTAGTAAGTAAAATCCCAAGCTCAAACATTCAACCAAAAGACTACCTCACCAGCAACTACCCAAATACTCTATTTTTAGCCCCAACAAACCCTACTGAAATCTTGCTTATCAAAACACTAGAGAACAATACAGGAGACCTAAATAACTTACCACCACTCATGTATAAAAAAGCTTCTCATGTGTTGTCACCAATTATTGCAACTCTTTTTAACAAATCCATTGAATCTTCCACCTTCCCATCCATACTCAAAACAGCAAGAGTCACCCCAATCCTCAAAGGAGGTGATCGAACTGAATTGAACAATTATAGGCCTATATCAAACGTGCCCCTACTATCTAAAATCTTCGAAA